TAGGGGGTTATTAACATCATTTATCGTAATATAAAAATCATATTAACTGTTCAAAAAAATTTTTTTAGCCAATCAAACTACAGAATATTGGATTCCACGTGATTTTTTCTTAGCCAAAATTGGCACTTATTTCTTTGGTCTTTAGATCTGATATTACTTACGCGAACTTCTTATTTCAATACGCCATTATTTCTGCCAGTCCCTTTAGTTAAAAACACTTCTGAATTGCTTATTTTTTTGAATATTACATTGACCTTTCCCAAGGTAAAAATTCGCGATGTCTCGATTTGTACGAACTTCAAAATTCAGGTACGGTTCATCTTGACAGTACTAACGTGCGTTGACAAAGTATGCTCTTTTATTAGCAAACATGAGTGAAATAATTGCCAATTTTCTTTATAATATTTGATGGTTTTGGTTCGTCTATTTATCAACTTATATATGTACTTGTTAACAACAGACACGTTTTTGGTACAGCAGCAAAGTATGAAAACTGCTTTGATAATGTCAAAGTTTCGGCGAATGCATGGGATACCAACCTTGTTAAAGTTAATCCTGTAAGTTTTCGTTGATACCGTTGTTCGATTGGATATTTAATGCCTTTTTAATAACCCTTCATTTCTGTTTTTTAATTATCTTATTCATTTATATTTGTTCCTAGCTTTTTGTTGCCATCAATTGGAACGCCGGTGGAGGTGGTGCTTTCGCTGTGATACCACATAAGAATGTTGGTAAGTCTTATGCCATTCAGATAATATTATTTGATGAATATTACCGATTTAATCGTATACACACCTAATGCTAGGTAAAATAAGTGATGGTATACCGCTATATCGTGGACACACAGCTCCAGTATTGGATACGGATTTTGCGACCTTTAATGATTATGTTATTGCGTCCGGTTCCGAAGATTCTAAGGTGATGATTTGGAATATTCCAGAGGAACTTGGAGAACCTGAGTCTCCTGATATTGCGCCGGTCGCTAAATTGAATGGCCACGGACGGTAAGAAATTCGATTATAGAAGAAACAGATCGATTTACAAAGGCAATAATTTAAGCAATGAATAATATTCATATACATAAATTATTTTTTTCAACTCCATAGGAAAGTGGGTCATGTTTTATTCCATCCCGTAGCGGATAATGTACTTGCTTCAACGTCAGCTGACCTTACTGTAAAATTATGGGATATTGAAAAAGGTCAAGAAAAACAAACACTCCAAGGTTTCGTAGATTTTATACAATCCATATCTTGGAATTATAATGGTAGTTTATTGGCTACGACATGTCGTGATAAGAAGCTTAGAATTTTTGACGTTCGCTCTGGAAATGTTGTTCAAGAGGCCTCCAGTCACCAGGGTATTAAAGGTTCTAGAGTCGTTTGGCTTGGTGATACCGAACGAATGGTGACAACAGGTTTCTCGAAAATGAGCGACCGTCAATTGTTTTTGTGGGACTCTTCTAATCTTGATAAACCATTAAAGAGTATCATGGTGGACACGTCATCTGGTGTACTCATGCCATTTTATGACAATGATCTTAAGATACTGTATTTGGCTGGCAAGGTGAAAATTTATAACATTTATTGATTATATCATTATTTGTTTTATTAAAATGATTATTTAAAAAAATTCGAATATTACAATCGTAATCCATTTTCTTAGGGGTTTGTATTTATTTAAATATAATTAATGTATTGTTTAGATATATTATTACTAACATATCATTTTCTTAATGTAATACAGTGATGGTAACATTAGATATTACGAATTTGAAAATGATGATTTATTTTTCCTAACTGAATATAAATCATCTGAACCCCAACGTGGAATGGCATTAATGCCAAAGCGTGGTGTCAATGTAACTGAATGTGAAATTGCCAGAGCTTATAAGGTTTCTAGTAATACCATTGAACCAATTTCTTTTGTTGTGCCAAGAAGGGTATGCAATATTATTATTTACTAGCATTAAAATTTATATATGATTTATTATTAAATGAATGTATTTTCTTATTTTCTTATTAGTCTGATGCATTCCAATCAGATTTATTCCCTCCAGCATTGAGCGGTGAACCGGCTCTCTCAGCAGACGAATTTTTTGATGGTAAAAATTCCAAACCTAAAACTATTAGTTTAGAGCATGGATTTCAGGCCAAAGAAAAGAAAGAATTTGTTTCTTCTGCACCAAAGGAAGAAGAACCTGTCGCGCAAACTCCGAAGACTGAAAAAGAAGTGCGTAATTTATTTTTATTCATAAATCTTAAAAACCTTACTCATTATTAATATTATGCTTGTGATTTCATATAATAGTACCAAGATGCATATCATCAACTTCGTCAAGAAAATGATGATCTTCGAAATCAGTTGGCGCAGCGCGATGTGACAATTCGAGCATTAACGATTCAATTAGAACAGCTGAAGACAGGATCATCTTAACTTTTTAAATTAATTCATCACTTTGAAAATTTGTTTAATTTTTAGACTTGACCTTTATTTGGGGATTTTTTTTATGTATTTAATGATTTATATTTATTTATTAATTAAATAAAGATTACAAAATGAAAACATCTAGAGATAAATTAATTTGCCCAAACTATGACCCTTTCCTAGTTTTCATTATAGTAAAACATTAAATTTGAAATTGTTTATACATAAAATTTCTGTTTAGGAATTTAGCGAATTTTTCTGCATAAACTTGCTGTACTACCGTATAAACGCGAAATAACTACCAGGGGTTAGATCGCCACCCAAAATTTTAGATCATGTGATATTGGGGTATTTTATATATACTAATTAATCAAATCTATGTAAGGAGCGTAGTAAAAATTAATAGTGCAGATTTTAGGCATAAAACGGCAAAATCGATATTTTACTATCAGATTAAAAATCGATTCACCTCGCGTAATAATAATTTTTTTCTGCCAATTTTTATATCAAATGATTATTATAATGTAAAAAAAAGTTACAATTTTAAATTTTTATTTGTAAAGTTTAATTTATAGTAAGATTCAAATTTTGGTTGAAATTTTATATGCAATATTTGAAAAATCTTTAATGAATTAAAAATTTAAAACTGTAACTTTTTTTTACATTATAATAATCATTTGATATAAAAATTGGCAGAAAAAAATTATTAGTACGCGAGGTGAATCGATTTTTAATCTACTAATGTTTTGATACATAACATCTGTACTACGTATCAATTTTTACTATGACTCCTTACATAGATTTGATTAATTAGTATACATATGTATGAAATACCCCAATGTGATATGCACTTGATCAAAAAATCCCTATCGTTATTATTAATTTGATGAGATTAAGCCTTCAAAATACGAAAGCAAACGAAATTAATGAAGATTTTAAATCAGGGAGTCACGATACTATTCAGAAGCGCTTTATTTAGACAAAATATTTATTTTGGAAAATTACCGGTATTTACACAACCAACATTCAGCGGATCGACCAAAAATTAGGGTCGGAATAGGCCCGGAGATAGGCCGCATTAAGCAATATCAGTCAACTATACTATAGCAAAATTATCATCTGGGCAACTTTACTTAAGCCATTCAAATTTGATTCTACCGCTATGTTTATTAACATAACACTAATAAAATGATCTACAAGTCTAAACAGGAGGGAGGGGTAAAAAAAAAACGAGATTTTGATTGGCTAAAAAAATTTTTTTGAACAGTTAATATGATTTTTATATTACGATAAATGATGTTAATAACCCCCTA